CAAACCATTACATCAAGTGCAAATTGTCAAAACTTATTTCATAATAACCTTATTATTTCATAATAACCTTAGCAGCTGCAGTCCTTTTAATCTACTGTTTAAAGCAGACTTTATTATAAGAAGAAAAAGAAATTATTTTTCTCATTAATGTTAAAAATTAGTAAAATAAGACATTTGGACGTTTCCTGCACATTTCTTGCATGAGGATCAGAAAGAACTATTTTCACTCAAAAGCAGGAAGAGATTAAGGAACCTAAAATGTCTGTCCTTGTTTCTTTGTCACAGCTGCCACATTTTTCTGTGTATTACATACATTTTGGGATGGAACCTGGCTGCCCCAATTAAATGTAATCACTTTTATGTTTTTGAGTTTTCCTAGTTCTGCAGACCCAGAACTCCTGAGAAAGGAGGTGCGCAAAGCCTTGCCCCAGCAGCAAATTTTGAAACTGACCAATATGAGGAAGCCAGATTTGGGTGATATGTGAAAGGGAGAAATGGGAATTGGAGTGACAGGAGGTGAGAAGTCCTTACACAGATTGTAGGACGTTCAAGATCCTGACAAAAAAAATGGAGGGGACAGATGCTGCTGGCAGTGGTAGTGCAAAAATGGCAGTTTCAGGATGTCGCTGCTCTTGGGCAGCTTTGGTGAGGTTCCTGTGCTGGGGCTGGGCTGCCCCTTTGTGCTGAGGGTATGATTGTCCAACTGTTCGGTAACTGGATAATCTGAATTTCTGCCTCCTGGAGAATGTGAGTTTGAAGGTAGAGCCCAGGGAGATGAGGACCAGTCTCTTGTGGAAAGGCGGGGTGCTGTGGCCCCCTTCAACCCTAGCACTCCCTGGGTTCTGATCCTTGTGTCTCCCCAGGGAGCATGTCCTGTGAGTAGCTGGTGTGCAGCTCAGGAGAGCTTGAAAACTATTCACCCTGGGGTGGGAATAATGAAACCTGGTGTTGGATATAAGGGTAATGGGGTTTAAATATGTGTTTTTCTTCCTGAGGTTCCAAGGGAGGTGTTCTACTTAATTAATAAGCTCATGGGATCCAGATCGCCTGTAATGTTTTCATTTTTGGAGGTGGCATGATTTTGATTCAAGCATGGATAT